AGCAAGAAGAATACAGAGAAAAAAGCTAAACCAAGTAAAATTTTGAAGTTACAACAGCTTTGACAACACAAGAGCTTTTCCTTTGCAGCAACAGTTCTTTACCAATGATGGTCTCCACGTATTCCGAGTTGTCGTTGACATTGAAGAGGTCACCAGCTCCCAGGGCATAGTTCAGGGATTCCTCAAAGGCTCCCAGGTGGTAAAAAACTTTAGAAGCAACCAGAGCAGCAAATTGGCGGCTCCGAAAACCTTCGTCTTCATAGAGAACTTCACTGCAGAGGAGGGAGAGAAGAGCATCAGCTCTGTGTGCTCACATATCTTTAAGGCCACATGACTCAAGTACAAGCTTGACTGAACTTGCATCTTTGGGACCACAGCTCCAACCCCACATCCACACACATTAAAGCTTTCTAGGAAATATGGAGCTACATGCTGTATTAGCCATTGTCAAGAAACCAGAACTACATCCACTTCATATCTCATGTTCTTTTAAAGCAGTATTAAGTGTCTTCTCTTACATTTTGTCCACTGACTCAGAGATTTCTGCCCAGAAGTCATTGACAACAGCATTCAACTTGTGAAGAGCAAACTCCTACCAAAAAAAAAAAAAAAGTTTTATTATATTAAAAATGCATTTACCACCTTTCCCCAGTAAAAATTAAGTACATTCTAGGATGAATACCATAAACACTAACCCATTCCAACAAATTCTATTTTAAAATATCTTTGCAAGCATTCACTAATATTTGCAAGACTTTTGCAAATAAAGAGTTGTTCATTTCACAGGTAAGACAATTCTAGCATTCATTTCCATGGCCTGTCTCTGATGAAAGACTGGCTGACGTGTCTGATAGGTTAAATTGTGACCACCTTTGTGTAGCACATGGAATCAAGCTGTGGACTACAGCAGCCAGCTCTTTTTATCCATATGGACAGAGTACTTCAGATGATAAACCACAATCAGCCCACTTGTAATCCACTCACAGCAAAATCAGGGATCATTCGGATCCATCACTACCTATGTTTGTATCCAAGAAAAACAGTTAAGAAATTGCAAATATTATAAAGTGCATCTTCCATCAACACACTACCACTCTGAGTGTTGGTGTTCTGTGGATTCATACTCTCTGTACACTGGAAAGTTCTGTTGCTGTTGTTTTCTTCTTCTCATACTACTACTGTATGATTTTTTTTCCAAGTGAAAACTGTAACTGTGATTTTGTTCTATTATTCTAAAACCTTAAACTATTAATTAAATTATTCTAAAAACCTGAGCTGTTCTTCAGCTTTGAATTTTCCATACTCAAAATGCAGTCGCTGGAACAATTTTAAGTAACAAAGCCCCACTAACACTAGAGAGATGGGAGCTTTCATGAACAGAGATTTTTGCATTTGAAATTCCTGTTTGATCCATGCTCAAAACGACATTTGCAATATTTTATTATAATATAATAAATATATAAAATAATGTGTATAATATATAATAATTATAATATTATAAATTATAATAATTAATAATACTTATTTAAACCTTTTATTTTAGCTTTCAGGCTAGATACAATTTGGTGCCCACCTGTTTGCTGTTCAACCATAAATTACTGAGATCTGTTCCTTTTTGATTTTAAGCTCTCCACATAATGCATTTGCTGTTATTTGCTCTCAGATATTAGAGCTTACCTTGAGCTGGGGCTCTTCTTCATCTAAAAGAGAGATAATTCCAGCTGCAAAACAAAATTATTGTTACTTTCAGTTTCTCTGTATCAAAAGTAACCTTGTCATTTAGTTCAAAACCAACAGAACAGGACAGAAGGCTGTCTCTGGAATGCTGATTTTAAACCTTCAGTATAAAACTTCAAATTTCAGATTCAAGTTTGTACTAAATATAATGTAAAATAGTTCATAATTTAAAACTGAAAAGGTACATTATTTATAAAATATGATCCTTATTAGGGGAAAATAAAGAATTTTTCCATGCCAAGGAAACTGGCCTCATGGATAAGAGGAGATGTACCTCACAGCTTTATGCTTCTGACTGCTGATCCTGTCCCAGAACATTTGTACAGTTACAGAAATACTGTTTAACTGACATGACTGAGAGGTTCACAGGAGTTTAATCTGAAGACCAGGGATAGGTGGTTTCATTGCAGACTGCAAAGATGCAGCGGAAAGGTTTGGAATATGATCTGATCAAAGTCCCACACAATTCACTGCTTTACATTTTTAATCTGTTGTACAGCTTGACAACTTCTTTAAATCTGAAAAAACACATGAAACTGGAAAGGCCAGCAAGCCTTTGGAGGGCTGAACTGGGCTTCCAAAAGATCTTCATAAATCTAAAAGGAGCATGTGCAGGGCCAAAACAAAATGTACAAATATAGAATCTGAACAGTACAGAGGGTTAAGATGAAATATGATCAATATCATTTGGCTGCAGTGGGAGGCAGAGAACCCAAACCTCACACAGAAGTGTAAGGGAGAGCAGTTCTTGGCAGATGTATGAGACACCTTCCCTTCCCTTGGCACCTACTGGCCAGAGCCCAGTGCTGGGCACCACATTTGAGTCATGAGCAAACCAGGGTGTTTGGAGCTGGCCAGTAATAATAACAGGGAGCTCTGGTAGTCAGCTCCTGAAGGGTGGCTGGAGGCTTGTAACTGGTTGGTCTACAGACACCTGGGAAGGGTGCAGAGTTCAGGGCAGCTGCCAGGAGGAAGGGAATAATCTGATCTTTATGTCAGATATTAATAGGAACAGTAACACCAAACTTTAGTGAAGCCTCAAAGAATGAGCTTTGATGGTCCTAAAAGTTTTCTCACAAGAACACATCTATTCCTTTGCCTAATGAAGTTGAAGAACCCCCTTTATAAGGTATTGTTTTTAAAACCAGCTTAGACACACAGCCATCAGTAGCAGGAACTGAAGGAACATCCATGTGGCTCTTAGGCAAAGAAGGCAGATTCAGCAGCTGTCCCACTTCCAGCTCTATCCAGCTGTTTCCTGTATCTCTGCACCAAACGTTTACTTTGAGTTTTTTTGTTTGTTTGTTCTAAAGAAGTTCCTGCATTTACCTGATCGATCAGGAGAATGCAATGTCACTCCTACACATCACCTACATACCTCCTCCCACATACCATTTTTGCATTTTTTAAATGACTCTAAAATTAATTGCTACATTTTCTCAATTAAGATAAAGACTCAAACAAAGCAAAGGGTTCAGGAAGAGAAAGCTACCTGGACATTGTCACTCACTGCAGTGCTTCTCTCGCCAAGCCACAACCAGCCACATCTTAATTTCTGGCCTGAGTATTATTCATAGTACTTTCCATATTTTTTTACACCATCAGGTTCCCAACAGATGCACAAACATCGCGTAACATCCAACTCCTCACACGCTTCATTATCCCGCACTCCTTAGACCGACGTTTCCACTGCAAGGCTTTTGCGTTTCTGAACTCCAAACTCCTTCCTCTTTAACCTCTCAAGTCCCTGCTGCACCTCCCGAGTGCCCTCCGGTTTTACACCGAAAATGCGCCGTTCACTTGTAGCAGCTGAACCCTCTCGCTCCCACCGCGGGACCCCCGCGCCCCCGCCCGGGACCCTCAAAGCCACCGGAGCCCTCGTCGGACACCGGCAGGAGACGGACACGGCACCGGGCTTCAAGAGCCGGGCACCGGGGTGGCCTCTCTTTGCCGTCCGAGGGTGACCGGGACGGGGGAACCCCGTGACGGGCGGCCCCGCGGAGCCGCGGCGGTGCTCAGTCACGGCCCTGACTCAGCGAAACCCCGGCGGGCAACGTCGCCCCGCGCCGCTGCCTCACCGGCCGAGGTGATCATGATGCCGCCCGGCTGCCCTCGGAGGGGAGGTCACGGAGGTCCGAAGGGTCCGGGGGGGGTCGGGTCGGGTCCGCTCCGGCCCAACCGCGGTTCCGCCGCCGCCGCCGCTGCCCGGCCCGGAAGTGGCGCCAAAGGCCTCTTCCGGCGGCTCCGGAAAGGTGCCCGTGTGATCGCCTGCGCGGGACGGCGGAGAAGCAGGCAGGCAGGAGCGGGGCAGCTCTGCCGCTGGGGGCCTTGTTCTATCCGGGGCCCCTCACGGAATCCCGCGGGCCTCTCGGGGCTCCCCCACATCCCTCACGGGCTCCTCACGGCCTCCCGCGCCGGCAAACCGCCCGCACCACTTCCTGGGGGAGTGGGACCGCGGGGCCGGTTCCCCACGAGTGACCCCGCCGGTGCCCGCGTTTGTGCCGTGCCCAGAGAAGCGGCTGCTCCCCCCGCCAGGACAGGCCGCCCGCAGTGGGGCGGACATCTTTAGGGGCACAGCTTGTCCCATGACAGTGCAAGGATCGGCGATTTTATCCCATGGGTGTAACACCTCTTGCCGGCCGCTTCTGCGGCGCAAGACAGATGGGATACCCAGGCTGGTGGATTTGCACCAGGGAAAGTCCAGCTCAGGAGCAACGATGCCACACAAGAGACCAAAGTGCCCAGACCTCGGCAGCATCGATTCCTCCTTGTTGCTACTGAACAGGAAGAAATACCCTGTGAAGTGCTTTAATTCCTTGAGGATGCATAATGGTATGAGTTAGTGAAAGTTATTAATGAAAGTTATTAATTAAAGTTATTAATGAAAACTTGTCAAACCTCTACCCACAATGCCAAGAGGGGCTGCTCCACTCTTGGACAACTGGGAAGATCTCCAGCCTTCTCCATTGCCCCAGCTGGGCTACACTCAGCTCTGCTGATCTTCTGCGTATCAGACACTGGGGTCTCTTCCATCCCAATATCCAGTTTTTTCAAGCCATGATAAATATGAGTCAAGCTATGCATAATGCTACTTCAAGGATAACAGCATGGCAAACAAGCACATTCCAATTTGGAAATTAAATGTCTTTATACAGCAAGCATGTAATAGTGCCCTTAAATTATTCAATCAATTAAACATGTAAAACTATCTGCTTACACCTCCAAGTGCACAGATAGTGAAAACAGAAAAGGAAAAAAAAAAGTAATTCAAGTCACTTTTATTCTTCAGTCAAAGGAAAACAATACTTTTGGTCAAATGTATTCTTGCTTACACCTCTTAAAGCCTGGGCAGTTCATCCACTTGCACCAGTCTCTTGCAGGGGTTTTATTGGCTCTTCCAAGCACCAATAAAGCAGGAAAACAAGGCAGCAGAATCGGTCTGACAGGGAGGCCAGCCCCAGCAACCTCAGCAGGGAACTTTGTTCAGAATTAGAAAACATTTCTCATTCTTCAAACAGGTGTCTGCATTTCACACTCAAAGTCCCAATGTCATTTTGCCCAGGATGTGGGGTATATCCCCGAAGGGCTTCTCTGAAGCCCAGTGTCCAGCAGCAGCTCTAGGTGCCCCAGGGCAGCAGGGCACAGCAGGGAATGGCTCTCTGGCACAGACCCCAGGGACTGGTGGCAGCTACAAAAGACTGATCAGTTCAGCCAAGCAGCTTTTCCCTGGAGCTGTGTGTCCTTGAAGGAGAGGGCCTGCACCAGCTCCTCCTCCCACTGCTCCAAATCCACTGGTCAGATCTGGGATGTAGACTGTGTTGGATGCCCAGCAGCTCTAGGTGCCTGTGCCTCCAGCAGTTTCTTCGCAGTTTCCGTTGGGGGAAAGGCTGGCCAGAGCCACTTCTTCCTCAGGGTCCTGCAGGTCACCTGCAGGGAGAAGAAAGAGGTCAAGGCAGACCTGAATGGAAAACCTCTCCTCCCAGAAAATGCAACTTAAGATAAAAAGAAGGCATGGGCTGAATCAATTGATATCTACTCACAACCTAAGCACAGCTGATTTTTTTTCAAAACTGATTTTCATTTTGTTTTACAAACTCAACATTGCTTCAGCAAATAGAGCAAAGGAGCGCAGGGCCCACGTCCTGGCCTTCTGACGTCTCAGCAATCTCAGAACAAGTTGCATGGCCACAGGGTATCACCTGCCTGGCACTGACAGCAAGATCAGGCACTTCAGTTTTCTGACCATGGAGGGTGGGTCTCACAATCTCGTATGTCTCATAGCTGCATAAATTGGGCATTCATTTCAGCCCTTAATAATATCCTTTAAAATCTGTTCAGCCCTGAAGTGCTCAGGCAGTTGGACTAGATGATTATTGTAGGTTCCTTTCAAGTGAAAATACAACATTCTATTCTATTCTATTCTATTCTATTCTATTCTATTCTATTCTATTCTATTCTATTCTTTTTACAGTGAAGGAGCTTTCCCTCCTCTTTGTGCTTCATAGTACAATCTGGATCTCTACACCACACACCTTGTAGCCTCCTGCATGAGGCACTCCTGCAAATAGAAAATCACTGCTGGGAAGTGCAATCCAAAGTGCCAACCATGCACAAAGGCTGAATGCTATGCTATGTGTTACCTGAACAATTTCCTTTAAATTGGGGACCCCACAGCTGGCTGCCCTCTCCCTTCTCTCTGCCACCCCCAAAAGCAAATGGTTTGGGAACACTCCTTGCACCCGTTTGCAGAAAACATCACATATTATCAGGGTGCTTCCAATTCATTGCTTAGACAGAGAGTAGTTCTGCTTCCAGAATGTCTATTCAAACAAAATGCAGCTGAGTTCAGCAGTGCTTCCAGGGTTGTATTTGGGCACAAGATTCAGCAGGGTTTTGTTTAGACAAGCAAAAGGTCAGAAAACAAGGGGATGGCAACAAAGCAGACACATGGTGGTCGTCTTCAGGTTTGGGTAAACCACAGCCAGGGAAGCAAGGTCAACTGCAGAACTGGAAATAGCTGGAAAAGGCCACCAGCAAGGGGTTTGGGCACCAGAACCACCAGGGAATCATGAGGAACTTCTGACAATCACAGCAGAGTACAAGGGAGGGAGCTGGGCATACCTTCATGAATGTTGTTTTCAGCTTTTGCTTCATAATCTTTTCTCCAGCTCCTTTGGTTCCAAGAAATGCACTTCAAGAAGGATGGGAGCCTCCACCTCTCCCTGTCTTTTACATCTTCTGTATAAACCAGAGAAGATGAGTTCAGACTGGTAGCAGGTCAGCCCTGTTGCTTCGTCACCTCTCCCTCCATGAGCCTTGCAACAAAACCAGGTCCTAGCAACAACACCAGGCTCCACAAAGCCCACCACTGGAAAGCACAGAGCAACTCCTGGAAATTCTTATTTTTGGCTGAAACCTCTCTGCTACCCTGGAAATTTGTCCCTGGTGTCAGTTTCTACTTTGCCACCTTGCTGCCAAAACCAACCTGGATGTGGCAGCCGAGAGCGAGCAAGAAACCTGGCAGGAGCTCAACTGGCACACGTGGCGAGGCTGGGGACTGACACAGGTAGAGAATTCCCACAGAAGGAAGTTTTCCTTTTGCATTGTCACACATCAACCTGTTTACTGCTCCCTGCTTTATTAAGCAGTTCCTCCCTCCCATGGAGACTGCACAGCAGCACACTGAAAATTGCTGCTGTAATTGCTGGCAAATTGCAGAGAGCATGTGGTCAATGTATAGTAATTATTCTAGAAGACAACGAAATTACTACAGACTTTCAAGCCATTTTAGTAAAACATTACAGCAGCCTGTAAAATACTACAGCAGCATGTTTTATATGGTCTCCAGCAGCAGCAGTTCAACACCCCCATTGAAATATCATCCAGCCTTTCACCTCCTAACCAGATAACAAATGATAAACCACTTCAGCGTCATTCAGTTTACCGAGCCATTGCAACACTAAAGGGCTCAGTGTCTTTCTGGCAGTCAACAAACAAAAACTCCAGTGCACTGCCTGGGTGCACTGCCTGCAGCATTCAACTACTCTTTGGAGGCAAAGCTACGCTTGCGATCCCCTCTGTCCAGGCAGAGATTTTGGAAGGCAAAGCTCACAGAAGCATGGAAAGAAGTTGTCCCTGCCTAAGGTTGAATCCTGAAGGTGATGAGTGTCCTCATTACACACACAGGTCCTGGAATACTTACATGACTCAGAGCACCAGGCAAAGCATCAGAAGTGAATGAGCACACACAATCAGGCTGTAATACCCGATCCAGCTCCTCCTGCTCCTCATTCTCCACAGCCAGCCACAAAAATACATAGACTGAGCCAAGCACCAGCAAAGTGCCAAGGCAGAAAAATGTATGCAGGGATGCTTTTCTGCCTCTGCAGCTGCTGTCCTACCACACTGCTGCAACCAGAACTGGAGGATTCACTGATGTCTGGGAGCACACCAGAAATTCTTGCAGCAGGAACAATGTGAGGAAGATAAAAGCATGTGAAAGTAGAGAAGCTGGAAAGAGGACTGTGTGTGCCGTAATAGAGAGGTGGCAGAAGACAGCCCTGTGCCCTCATGACCAGTCACCTCAAAGCTCCTCAACATTCAGATACAGGATTCTGGGCTGAGCTGATAGAAAGAAGCACCTGAACAATCATCCCCATGTCCCAGGGATCCCAGGAGACTCTGTCAACCTTGTGGTGCTGAAGGCAAGTACCAGTGTTGCCACATCCCTGTAGCTCATGTATCCATGAGCTACTCTGGTGTTTCCCAAACTGCTGGGAAGTTGGTCTGCCCTGTCTGCCAGTTCTGGGAACCTCACCAGAAAGAGGCAGACCCCACTGGAAAGGCTCTGATCCCACCAGCATGAAAGAGATTTCATTGGGGAAATGCAGATGGGATTGTGCATGTGTAAAGATCCCATCAGTACAGAGTGGTACAATCCCCATGGGAAAAGCCAGATCCCATTGGGTGGGGAGAAGATACTATCAGGAATGGTCAGATCCTAATGGGAAAAGCCTGACCCAATTGCAGGGGAGATCCCATGAGGAGAGAACATAAACCATTAGGATGGGGTAGATTCCACTAAGAAAGGGAAGATCCCACAGGAAAATGGAGCAAATCCCACTAAAAACCGGGCTCCGGGTGAGGGAGGGAGGAAGGAGATCCCCGACCCAGGTACCTGCGGGGTGCTGCAGGGCGGCCCGCAGGGCGCGGCAGGCGGCGGCTCGGCAGTCGCCGGGGCTGCCCGGGCTGTACCGGGCCGCCTCCACCGTACCGGGCGCCGGGAAATGCCGCCGCAGCGCCGCGTCCAGCACCGCCGCGTCCTCTCCGTCCCCGCCGGGCAGCAGGACGCCCACGACGGCGGGCGGCGGCCCCGCGGGCAGGCGGCCGCGCACGTCCCGGACCACCTCCCGCAGGCGGGTACGCGCCCCGCGGCCCCGCGCCGCCCCGCCGCCGCACAGCACCAGCAGCAGCCGGGCTGCCAGCGCCCGCCGCCCGCCGCCCGCGGCCCGCTGCGTCCGGCACCCCGGCACCGGGCACGGTGAGTGCCGCGCCTCATCGCCCAGGAGGTCGCGGGCGAAGGCAGCCAGCGCGGGCGCCGCCGGGGCCCCCTCCACCACCTCGGCCACCAGCAGTACTGCTCGCCGGCCGCCCGCCCGCTCCACGAGCGCCCGCAGCTCCTGCACGTCCTCCGCCGCCATCCCCCTTCGTGCTCCCTGTCCGGCCCGCACCCGCATGTTCCCCGGCTCCGGCTCCGCACCGCCCACTGGTCCGCACCCGCCCCGCCACCCGACACCAGCCCGGGGCACCAGCCCCGGCCCCACGCAGAGCAACACCCTAGGGCAGCGGGGCGAGAGAGTGTCAAGGATCCCTCCCCCCGCTGCCAGCCCCGTCCCGGGACCCGCACAACCCCGCGGTGAACAGCCTCTGCCTGATGCCGGGTGGGCACAACAGAGAGGGTAGTAAAGAGTCTGCCACACGATCAGACTCAGAGCTCTCGCACACGCTAGTCCTGTTCCCAATGATGAGTTGATAAAATTCAGGCAAAAAACTGCGCTGTGGAAGGGTTCGGAAGGTGAGAGGGGGATGAGGAGAGGCTGTAGTGGCTGCAAAGTGGGACACACACGAGGTTACGATAAAGGACCAGCTGATCACGCATCCATTCCCAAGGTGTCCCCTATGGTGTGGCATCTCAAACTCCAGAGCAGCAACAGAGTGGTCTCTCTGGCATCGTGTGCAGTATGCTGTTGCACAGCCTGGCCAGGCTATAGCCACCTCTGGAGACAATTCCACTTTGGGAAACAATTCCACCCTCAAAGGACATACCCACCCCACTGGTCAGAAGTGCACAGCTGAGCTGCAGCCCTCATACCACATGCTGCATCTCTGAGTCCCTTCTCAAGCCAGTCCCCTTTGACTTCCCCTCTGTCACCTCCATGCAAAACAGTCCACAGTCACAGGCCCATGAGCATCAACATCACTACATCCCATCAAAGCACAAATGTTTCCAGGGATAAGTACAGAGGTTTAGTCAGGGCTTCAGTGCTGACACTTGTTACACATATCTCTGCCAGCTGACAGTGAATGAAAGCCACTGTGCCCAGTCCTGACACTTGCATGGGGAAGTTCCAATCCATGGCATGCGTTACTTCCCCTATGCCATATCACAGGCTCTTCCAAACCGGTAACGTCTTATTGCAAGAGCCTGGGAAGGGATAAACAGCTCAAAGGTGTAAACGGCCAGAGTCACCTTGGCCAATTGCTCTCTGAGGATTTTTGGAGCCAAACCATCTCTTGTGGGATGGGTGGAGTCTCTGAGTGTACTGGGAGTGAAAGCGGAACCAAAATCCACGTGCCTGTCCTGGATCAGCAATTCCCAACGTGTATTCGGGTACACTCATGCCACAAATGTGGCTGAGCTGTCATGCGGGCTGCCTGCCCATACTCATGGTCATCTGTCCCCAGAGCCCAGCAGATCACCAGCCACAGCAGAAGGGATGTGCCACAGGCTGATCCCCAGGCACAACAGCAGTGTGGCAGCTCAGGAAAGTCACAGTATGGCACCAATTTTAATCCAAGGAAAATATTTCCCCCAGTATAGCAGGCATAGCAAACACTGCCTTGGACTAGCATCGTGGATGAGGGCTTCAAGAGAAACTTTCTGCCCTGGGTCCTAGGAAAAGTAATTTAGTCATGGACAAGTGCTGATAAGCAAACGGGACAAGGCAAAAAGAGGAAGGTAAAACAGAAAGACTAGGCTCCTCTTCCAAAGATTAGGGTCTGCAAGAGCCAATGCTCCCATGCCCCCGTGCTAGTGTGGTAGCCCTGAGAGTAGCTGTCAACATGGGAGGGCTACAAAGTCAGACAATTCAGCAGCCAGGTCTGACCTTAGTGTTGCCCAGATTTTGTATTTACAAGAATTTTTTTTTCATCTGTTCAGAATCCTGTTCATGGTCCTATGGACAAAAGCCCAGGGTATAATCAGCATCATTAGTTGTGTCAGCAGCAGGAGGGGACAGGTCCCCAGAAATCCTCATTTCTCTGGGAAACTTCCACAAGATCCATAGAGTGTTTAAACTCATGAGCTGCCAGCACAGCCTGTGGCGTGGTGGTACTGGTTAAAGCTTGACTGATGTGCAGGCCATTATAGCATGGCTCTCACAGAGCTCTTCTAGAGCAGCACTGTGCCAGTGATTTGCCTTGAGATGCCAAGATGCCTCAGGCATTGGGAAGTTTTCTTTCTAGCTAGCAATTCACCAGATTTATGAAGATAATTCTTGCAGAGAAAGTATTGAAAAAATTGGAGTTTTCTTCCTGACTCAAGTACACCACTGGCTACTTCTCTGCAGTGGGCTCAATGTTCAAACTGCCAGCACAGCCACTAAAGACTTATATTTGGGACCACATAGAGCTGTTCTTCATGGTCACTGCAATTCTTTAGTTTGAGTACAAATGTAACACTGCCAGCAGAGGCTGTTTGGAAAGGTGACTGTCACCCACAATACCCAAACAACCTTGTTTACATTTCTTTACTCATTAACAGGGGTAAGATCTAGCGCACACAACTCCCTTTGTGTTATTTAAAGAGGTACAACTCAAAGAGTTGAGTGGCAGTTATGAGCTCAGCAGTATTTGTAGTACCCCACAAAATGTCTTCAGAGCCCTGTTAGGAATCTGAGCAAAAACACAGATGTATTTAGAAGACATGGCATTCCATCAAACATCCATCTGACAGTCACTATAGACAGACTTAAATGAGGGTCATCACATCCCTTACATATGCCCATAGCTGTCCAGAGCAGACAAAACATCTGTTCATTTTTGACTTCAAAAGAGAAGTGAAGATGCTTTGTTCAGAGAAACAAATTTGGCATGTGTATTAGTAGTGCCTTGAAGCATAAACAACAACAACAAAAAAGGTTCACTGCATTAGAGCCTGAATTTACCAAGATAAACCTTTCTCCTGAAGAGATTAAAAAGAGGACAGGAAAAAAGGATTCTTGTGATGGTTTTGATGGTAGAAGAGCAGAGAGACTGAATGAGTAAGAAGGAATCTGTAGGAGCATCTTCTGAACCCAATGTCCAATGACCCAGCTGTAGTGGTTTAGATTTGTTAATTTGAGTTTCTTGGCTAAAGTATTAAATAATGTGGTGCCCACTTCCACAGTTCCAGCTTCTTAAATTCTTCCTTTCAGTAGCTCTGGTGCTCATGGGGACACTTGGAAAAGCCTCTGAGCCAGGTAGGAGCTGGAACTGGCTGCAGACAAGCTAAGTCTCAGCAAACCTTTGCACATTTGCTCTTCCACTGATCTGTTCTCCAAACTTGCTCCAATTATTACTTTGAAAAACACATCCTTACTAGATGCTGGAAAGCATGTACTTTACTTGTGTAGCACTACCAGTTGCTACTAGGGCATTGCTGCAGGGCACCAGCACTTGCTGAGCTCTTCATCCATGGAGACCTCCTTGGGTCCCCCAAAGAAGTAGTAGAAGAGGTAATTGTGAGAGAAGAAAATACCCCAAACCCCACTCCTGCCCCAGTATCCCAGTCCCACTGATTCACTTCTAACCCGCCTCATGTTCACTCCTCCGTGGCTGTACCTATTTTCTCCACTGACCTCCCCCAGCTTCCCCTCAATCTTTCAGGCCTCTGAACCCAAACACCTTCCCACTTTTGGGAAGTTCCCACTGGAACTTGAACTTTGTATCAAACCAGACATGAACCCTTTCTGTGATGAGTTCAGTCACAAGTGAATCCAAACTGGATGGTCACACTGTTCTGACCCAGGTCCCTTCACCCCAGACCCAGCCACCTCCAGGGCCAGCTGAGGCAGCCCCAGTTTTGGTACCAAGGCAACCTGTAGCAGCTCAGCCCTGGCCTGGATCTGTCCAAGTCATCACAGCCCTCTGGACTCCACTCAGTGCAGGTTACACACCATAAACAAATAAAGTTGAGAAATCCCTGGCACCCCATGGCTGGGTGGGGTAACACAGCCTGGGTTCCTGGAGAACCTCAAACTTTTTTCTTGTCTCTTTTCTCCAAAATTCTGTTCTCTTTAAAAGTTGCCCATCTCTGCAGTTGTCCTAAGTTTCCTCATGTTTCCTTGAGTCACCATCCCATTCTGGATGGCAGAGGGGCATAGGAAGGTATGGCTGAAGAGGAGGAAGGAAACCTGGCACAGGGCCATGTGCAGAGAGCATGAAGTGTTGGTCAGTCCTGGACATAGGACGGATGTCCTTCCCTGCCCTCTTAGAGACAGATGGAGGCAGCCTGTCAGCCTATTCCACTCTTGGATCCTCCACTGGAAGATGTTAAATACGTGGCAATGAGTATGAAATCAGACCCAAGGACCAAGCTGCCTCTTCTGGCCTTTTTTCTGGCTGTCCTCGGCTGGATCCTTGCCTTTGGTTTGAAAACAGGACCCAAGATTAGCTGTTTACAGACACCAGTCTCCATTCTTTCCCAGTACACACATGCCTTCAACACCAACAGTCCAGCTTTTCTGCACTTAGCTTTTGCAGCACCTCTTAAAAATCACCTCAGAGCTCACCAAGGGGCCAATAGTTGGGACCACTGCACACAGACACAGCCCCTCCTGCCTCCCTAATCCTGCCTCGTGCATTCTCCTACTTGCTTCTCACAAAGCCCCTTCTTGGCATGGCCAAGCTCCCAGGTTCTCAAAACTGCTCCCTTTTATAAGGCAAAGGGCAAATCCATCAGCTTCCCTGGAGTTGCTGGAATGAGAAGAGCAGGTCAGTGTGGATCTGCCTGGTTTGCCAGCCCTGAAAGAGGCCTGTACACTACAGGGCACTCTAAGACTTCTCTGTATCCACCCAGGATTAGGTGGAGAATGCAGCAAGGGTGCAGCTTGAGAGCACCCAGGGATGGCCTTCTGCCTCTTCTCGTCCTCAGTTCTCTGGCTGACCACATTCCTTGTTGTCCCAGCCACACATCCCTGTGGCTACATCACTTGCCCTTGCAGGGGATTCCTGTGCTCCCAAGCTCTAACCAGGGTTTCAGCCACATCTCAGAGTTTCTTTCTTTCATCTTGACAGTGCCCCACATCACCCTGCACAGAAGTGCCTGGACACAGTACAAACAGGCTGCCAGACGGGAAATTTGAAAGCTGCACGGACTATCCCTGGATTTGGGTGGTTATCTGTGTGTTTCAGATGCTACAGGAAATAATAGAGACACAGG